CGCCAAGCACCTCAACGAGGACCCGTCATCGTCGAACAATTCGTTCGCTCTATATTCACACAATTCACGTAACTGAGCGAGTCACAAGTCTCTTTCTCTCTGTCTTGCTTTCTCCCTTGTCGATCTTCCTCTCTCAGCTTCTCTCGCACTTGCCGGATATCATCTCCGAGGCTCGTTCCCTCCCGTTCTCCTCCGCTCCTCTCTCTCTCTCTCGGAGCCCCGATCGCTCTCGATAAATAATAATCGGACTGCTTGTCGAATTTCGGCAAATCGAGTTACCGGGTTGGCGCCAGTGGCGACGCTCGGTGTGAACGGGCGCGATCTCCCCGGAAGACTTCAGCAAGCAGATCGAGTGCTTGGCAACGCTATACTTAATTGGACTGTCGAATCGAACCGATGGTGGTCTGGGGAATTCGAGATAGAACTCATGTGCCCACCTATCCGCCAACTAACTGTGTACCGACCGGAGGGTCGGATTGTTCAATCGACGAGTAGGTTATCGAGTGGTGCTCCGCGCGATTGATCGTCCCCACGGCCGGAGTCGTGTCCAGCGAATTTGTCAACTCATTGAAATTCGAGTTTATCTCAACAGATGTACACGAATACCCGGAAAAGCCGAAATTCGAGCGACCGATCAGTTTCGAAGTTCCCAGCGAGCGAAACGCATTGATAGTTCTAGTGACTTGTCTGAAAAAAAACTCGCGCACCGTAGCGGACAATAACTCGGCGACCTTATTAAAATTTAGTTATCCGATTTAATGCGCCCGTAAAGTTTCGAAGGCTCTCCGAAATTGTTTGTGGGTGTGTCGAGGGACGCGATTCAGTTCCCGCCCGCTCTAGTTCGCAAGCGTCAAAAAAAGAGGAGTCACGCTACCACGATAAGTCGTATCGTGGAAACACGAAGCAAGACCAGAAAAGCGGGCGCTCTTAATATTGAATGCGAGGAATCACTACGAGTTCACGCCCTCTCCGCGCGTGCATGCTACGTGCCTTGCAGGCGCAATTAAATTGGAGGCAAGGTTTCCAATCGTGTTTCCACCTGTTCGGTCGTAGATAACAATATGCTTGCGCAGAGCCGTTGGTGGTCGTCTTCGTACCTGGGGCTCTATTAATAGGGACGCCAGAGGTTTGGGTGGGTTTTGTCGTTGTCGTCCGTCGTCGTTCTTCTATCCGTCTATCCATCCAGGATGCATCGAAGCTTTAGCCGCGCCTAGTCCGCGCCCAGTTGGCCCCACCTATCCACTCATTTTTTGGGCTCACGTGCCAGGCCCCATCGGGAAGGCCCTACAAGGTCCCCATGGTATGTTGAGGGGCAAATCTTCAGCGGGAGCAGCAGCAGCGACGGCGGCGGTGGCAGCAGCGATGGAGGAACGCCCTCACGAAGTCGGGGGTGGAGAAGATTCGTCGATGGGTGGAGAACGAAGCCAGAGGTGAGGCCGGAGCTCAAAAAGACCAGTTCTCGGTCAGATCAGTCTCAGTCCTCTTCGGGGAAGGTTCCTGTGCGGCAGCTGCTTCGGTTGGGCACGAGGCATGGCTCGAAGGAGATTCGAACTCTCTAGCTGAGGGTTTTGTAGAGCTTCTGCCTCGCTGCTCCGGTGCGTCTCCGGACCTGAAGTCAACTCTTCTGAAGTTCACGTGCTCTTCGGAAACCCTCGTGGTTCGATGTGCGCCGGTGTCACTGTTCACCATCGTCGAGCCTCGGCTCCTAAATCGGTGAGTGGAAATTCATTTTCCATGCCGAAAGAAACGCTGATCTCACCAATCGTTTTAGTAGTTTTTGTCGAGGCGCTGGGCTCATTCCGAACATCGGTGTTCTGGCAAGGGAGACACCTACATGGCCGCTCGATAAATGAAGGTGATGTGTCAAGAATTTTGGCTCAGACTCCGAGGAGCGGACGCGGAGTCACCGGGAGGCTTCTCGGGTGGAGTCAATTATGGTCGAGAAGCTCGAAGAGTGCCCTGGCCGGGAGAGCGCCGACTTCGCTAACGTCTTCGAAATTATTCAACACCAGACAACACCTACTCTGAGAGTGATTGAATCGAAAACATCTCTGCTCTGCAGGCGGAGGAGCAGGGGCGATCGACGGGGAGAGAACGCGGCGGCACGGTCGTCTTCCTGAACGCGAGCACGATAGTGTGCATTAGTCTCGTCCCGCAAAACCTTGGATGTCGTCGGGCTACGACCGTTTCCGGTGTCTGCTCTTCCGTGAGCATGATCCGTCCATCGCTTTATTCCCCCCCAACCCCCGCGTCGCTCACATCATTCACTATTCCTCGCTGCCCGTCATCGGAGACAGATAGAGATGGATTCACTCCACTCCGAGACCTAGACTCCGAGGTACTCTGGAGTCCGGAGACGGAGGATTTCCACCTCTTTCCGCTTCCTCGAAGGCGACCGTCCATCCGCGGTTTGGGAGCACTGGGAGAAGTCAGCAAGATTTAAGGGAAATTTCGGTGTCCGAAAGAAGCTCATCCGTGCGGGATCACGACCCCAGAGATATCAGCTGACTTGATCCGGGCGACACAAAGCCTCAATTCAAAAACGAGTTTTGTTCGTTCGGCTCGAGTTAGAACAAGTCTCGACGCAGCGCAAGTCAACGGAATCTTAGATCCGTCTTGGATTTTCGGGTAAGTAAAAGATCTGAGAGGGCCGAATTCATGCATACTGCCGAGTATCTTGTTTTCGAAGCTCGCAGAATAGATATTCGATCGCATGATTGTCTACGATCTCGCCCTGAATTTTCTGCATGATGTTTTCTGATGCGGGTCAGAGGTCTCCACGATTCCTATTCGATTAGGATTGTGGGATGAGGGACGAGCACTCACGATCGCCGTTCGCATGTCTCGCAAGCGGACGTGCCAGCTTCCTGATTTTTCTGCCAAGCTTCGGCTTCAGGAGCGTCGCCCAAGCTCCGAGCCCTGATGGAAGCGACGATTCACGTTTTTTTTTCTTCAAATACAGCGTGCTCTGCAGCAGATTCGGATGAATGCTGATCTTCAATACGAGCATTATTTTCGGACTACCGACCTCTGGATCTGATATCATTCGGAGATTGGCGGAATCGTGCAGATCAGGCATTAATTCTGGATCTTAGTCTAGAATCTCCGTAGCTGTCGCCCCCGAGGATGAGTGCTCCGATCACTCGCGGTGTGAGGAAGGAATCGAGAGATTCGACTAGAGGAGTGAAGAATCGTTCAATAAATCGACGAAATAAATACCGTAAAGGATGAGTAAATCATGGCCCGAGACTCCTTGTACCTGTTTCTCCTCACAAAGAAGGACATTTATTGAAAATATATTCGGGAATGATCTTTCACCCGACTCCGGCACACTTATTTGGTCTTATGTCCGTCCCCATAGTCTTAATGTACATTAATCTTGCAGCATATGCCCCGTTATACTGCTGAAAATCTTAGCGGGAGACACTGCCACACGAGGCACTTCGAGGCGAGATTTTGTGCTTCGAGCAATAGGTGGCGGTCAGCCTGGGCTCCCTTTCCTGACGGACCAATAGAGTTCCCTGACCCGTCCACTGTTATTTCTTACAGCATCACAGTGTTGATCACAATCGCTCCCTACTGCTTAAGATAGGCTATGATTGAATTTCTTCATCGATTGAAAAGTTGGCGATTGCTCTCGGCGCGAATAGCGTCAAAGTCAGCGGAAGCGCTCGTCTGTCCAGATTACTGGGATCTTCCCCGGGAATGGGACCGACATTTGATCGACACACACGGCGATGTCCTCAAGCTCGGGTACTCGGGCTCATCGTGAACATCCAGAGCCAGGTAAGTCCTCGGAAGTCAGCATTAGCGGTGTTATCCGGGAGCAGCTCCTCGTGGCATCGAGTCGTAATTAGACACTTTGTTTTCATTCTATCCAGGCTCATTCGAATTCGTTTACGAAACCCGCGCTGATTCAGCGCGCTACGATTTTTGATGAAATCTTCATTACCGTGACCGAAATTCACCAGTTGCTCCAAGGATTTCGATTATGTACAGAATCGACGAATTGAATCGATTTATTTGGCACTGAGAGTAAGGGGTTTGCAGATGAAACCGGAAAATCCGTTAGTTGGCGCTCGCTTCGGCTTTGGCTCATATTTTCGCGCCAACCACAATGCGTTTTTTACATCGCCTCCCAGGCTCTACGAAACGACAGCGCGCGTTCGAAAATCAACTTGTGGAATTTTCGATTAATACGACCGAAAATGTCGACTATTGTGCCAGATAAGGAAGTTTGCCGGAGCTCCCTCATTTTCTGCTACCACTTGGACAAAACGGCGAGTGAGGCACATTCTCTGCTCGTTCAGGCTTTTGGTGATCGCGCACTAGGCAAGAGTCAATGTTACGCCTGGTACGAAAAGTTTAAAGCCGGGAACTTCAATAAAGAAAATGAACCGCGTGGAAGACCGGTCAGGAAGTTTTCTGTGCTCAAACCCGGTGAAACGGTTAACGCGGATCGCTACAAAGAGCAACTCATGAAGTTGAACAGCGCTATCACCCAGAAACGTCCGGAACGCGACCGAGATCGAAGTCGTGTCATCTTGTTGCATGACAATGCTCCGAGTCACCAAGCGAAAGCCGTCCGGGAAACTCTTGCTGTTTTGAATTTTGAAGTCCTCGACCTCCCGGCTTATTCACCAGACCTAGCTCCTTCAGATTACTATCTATCTGGATTGATGGCCACCGCACTCAGAAATCAGCGCTTCTCGACATACGAAGACGTTCGAAAATGGCTATATGAATGGCTCGGCAGTAAACAGGAAGACTTCTACCGTAAAGGAATCCGGGCTCTCCCGGAAAGATGGGAGAGGTGCATAGCCTCCCTGGGAGAATACTTTGAATAAAGTCAGCCTCTTAGTTTTTCCGGAAAAATAATTTCATTTCTGAAAAAAATTTCCGGTTTCATCTGCAAACCCCTATAAGAAATCGTTTGCTGCGTTTGAACAATTGTGTAGCTGCACAGTATACCCTAGACGAATTCTCAATGGACAAACAACTTATGGGTCTTTCTTGCTGATATTGATCATTTGCTGCCTCCTTTCGACTTCCGTGTCCGAGAGAATGTACTCGCTTATCTCGCTGTCATCGATCGCCGAAAGATTATCGTCGGTAGCCCCTGCTTCCGCTGCCTGCAGTTCTCGCAATTCCTGTGAAAAGCGAGCGGCTTAAATTTCGTATTTCTATCGCGGAGACTCACGATCGGGATTGCGAGAAAAGGGTTCCGAGACGCCTCGAACGCATCTCGATCCATCTCATCTCACCTGAGCTGCTTTCTCCTCTCGGAACCTCTTGAAAGCCTCGTCGTTTTCGGTGGTGCGCGTCTCCGACGCAACTTTGTACTCGAACACCGGTTTCATCTCCATGATCATATCGAAGAGGAAGAAAAAACTATCGTGGGTCACTGAGATTGCGCTGCAGCCCCGGCTGTTGATCACGTCGATGATTTCCTGGACGAGCGATTTCGGTGATATCCTGTTGAACGTCGGTATGCTCAGGACTTTCTCGTGACAGAGATCGTACATGCTATTGAGATCCTTGAGCTGCATGTTGAAACAATCAGCCACGTTGACCGTCTTGAATGCGAGGTAGAAAACCGAGAGTGCGAAGAGATGCGGTGGCCATTGCTGTACAATCGTGCACGAGTCGATCCACTCGACGAGCATCAGGGATTTCTTGACGACTTCCGGCAAATTCAGAGGCTTCCCTTGAGGAATTTTGTTCGCGTACAGATCGATAGAAGACTGCACCGTTTCGTTGATCGAAGGCTGGTGGGCCAAGACGTGACCTTTTGAAATGAGGTCCTTCTGCACGAGCTTGAATTGTCTTCCTATTATTTTCACGGGGGTGTCACAAAATTCCGAAAGTTCCTTGAAGGTCACGACTCGCTTCTCCATGCGCATGATCGTCATGAAAACTGCGCCCGCGAGAGCTTTGGCCTCGCGGTAGTGGAATCTTCGCCTGAGGTTGTCCCAGTACATCTGGAGGGCTTGCCCTTGAGTTGAAGCCGGAACCCCGTACGATGCCATGATTCGTTCGAGACACTCTCTGCCCAGCTGGCCGGTTTTCGTGAGACCGGATTTGGAGTCCGCCGTCGCGTACGTCGTGAGCGCTTGACGTGTTCCATTCCTCCTGAAGCCGAACTTCGTCTCTGTTTGCGATAGCGATGCGGCAGAATCAGCCGCCAACTCGGCCAGAAGCGAATCCGCGTTCACCACCCCGCAGTACACGCAGACCTCGCATCGCTGCTCACTGTTGTATAGAACGCCGTCCTCACCGCAGCTGAAGCACTTGGTGTACATTTTCTTCCTCGTTCGCAGCTGCAACAGAAGGAAATTCCGACGGTCAGTCGGCTCGAATGCCACTCGAACAGTGCCCAGCGGCCGGTCTACGACATCCGGCCAAGAGCCATCTGCTTTATACTGCGAGTCGGAGAATTGATCACAATAGGGAGAGGAAGAGAGCAAGAGGAAATCGTCTGAAGTTTCTCAACTGATCCGGGAAATGAGCCGCTAGGATAGGCGGGCGATCAACGCGAACAATTCACGTCGCGTCTTCCTCGCGCTTTTCTTCACAAGCACCGCGATCGAGGGCACCGATGCGGAATCTCCATGAGTGAGCTTCGGAAACAGGTCCCTCCAATGCCTCTCCGGAATGCTTGACGGCAATCCGTAAACACCGAATACTGTGATGAGCTCCGACTGTGCAGGTAGAGGAAATCAGCTCGGTTTGCGATTACAAAAACATCTGTCCGCTCTATCCAGCAGAGAGACACTATATATGGAGAACAATTTCGCTATGCCTCCGACCTGACCAGCTGCCCCGAGAGTCGCTAGTGTCCTCCTTTCGCGGTGAGATGAATACTCTTCACCCTGTGTTCTCTACTGGCATCGCTAATGCACGAAAATTGTCCAGCGGATGTCGCGAATCTCCAAATCCAAATGTGGCTGAACATCGTTTCTCTCGAAGTGCCTAAACAAATCATTCCGTAACATCGACGGGCAGGCGCTAATAACAATATGTAGGAAATAGAACGTATCGTGCCAAAGTGGTGGCAAACGCCTTCTCGACAGCGGATCAGAGGCTCATTTTTGAACGATATTGCCGAAGACGAGCTAGAGGCCAGGTGGAGCTGGAAATCTGCTCCCGCGAAATTCCCCATCACGACGCTCGCAAAGGACCCTCCCTGTCTTTTCAGGCCGAGTTGGACGGTTATGATCGGTCACTCGGGAATGCGATGTTCGCAGTTGGAATCGGTCGATGTGATCAAGTCTGGAGCTCCGCATTCCCAGATCCAGACCGATAAACAATAATCAGTCTGCGCAAAACATTAGTCATGGAACATCTCCGCCAGACACTTTGTGATCTGTGGATCGAATTTCCGCGTGACTCGTCTAGACTGCGGCGATCTGTAGATGGAAATGGTGGGATCGATGCTAATTGGCTGGGAGGAATCCCGATTAGGGACTTCTTTGTCGAGGGAAATATGGGCCGGACCCGAGAACAGGCTTTCCTGCACTAGGTTGAACTTACACTTTTAGCCGCCATTTCATGGACCGAGAAAAGGTCTGTTACTTATAACTCCGCTTCACGCTCGAGAGAACAATCGCAGTATTAGGTGCTGCTTCTACCTTAGCGCCTAAACGAGCTGCGGTTCGAAGTCGTTGGATAATAATGATCCTTTTCATCTAATGCGTGAATGAAATCGGCGGTGGTGGCGGCAAAAGTCTGAATTAACGCAAACTACCCTCTCTCTCAACCTCAACATATCAGAAGACATTCAGCTGATGCAAGCTTTGCTCACCTTTCAAAGACAGTCAAGGCTTCTCTTGGCTCCGAAGCAGGTCATTGTAGCGGCGTTAAACGCCTTCGGAACCCTGCAGATTTCTCCGATACTGAGGTGACGGTGGTCGATTCGGCAATAGTCGCGTTGACACTTCTGTGCCACTAAGAACGGTTGCTGAATCTAGTAAGCCGGAGACAATACGAAAACTCCTCGTGGGGTCTCTCACGGAGCTCAGGACCGACCACAAGAGACGGCTCGTAAAAGAGGCTACTCACGATCAAAGGTCGTCTTTTTCTCCGATAGGGGTCGATCCCCCGAAAACAGTCGAATTATACGAATGAGACGTTTCCAGGATGCCCGCTACGGAGAGATTTCAGTGTTTGAAATCGAACTGCAGCGGTTCATCCACAATGCCGATGAATACAATGATGTTCGTGATCTTTGTTCGAAGCTCTGGCGCGATGTGGCGGCTCCTCGCTTTTCCTTCGATTCTGGGCGCTCTGAGTCTTAAGAAGCCCTGATAAAGTCGGATCTTAGAGTGATATAAACCCTTGTTGGTTTCCCCCGGCGCTGGAATGCGATCGTCGGCCGAGTTCGGCGGATAATGGTCATTCGACATTCCGGGGTTCCCCTGGGACTGATCTCGGGAGCCCCAGGGGGTCCTCGAACCCGCTCCTTAGGGGACCTAAACGAAACGCGAGAAGTTTGACCAAGCTCCGCGCCAACGGACGCTCTGATGCCTCTGTAGATTTTCATTATTCACTGCTGGAATATCCATTAAACGCGGGGCGACGAGGAGCTCCCGACTGCTGTGCTTGTTTGAGTTCTCCTGCGATAAAGAATCCAGAATTTCACGGTCTCTACGGGGGGGGACTTCGAGAGCTATCCCGTTTGCTTTCGAAAATCTCTGATATTGGAACCTAATGATTTGAGCTCTGGAGTTCGGGCACTGAAGAATGCCGAAAAAGGCAGGCAAAAAGGCACTGAAATACATTAGGAGAGGCATCGAAACTGTTCAGAATAGGCGTGATAGGCAGGGCAACGCCGCAAGTAACCGCTCGTCAACCGTTTCATGAGATATCAATGTTGCCTCCTGGAGTCCCATCGACTGGTGATCGATGTTGGTCTGATGGGAAGCATTCTACATAATCGAAAGACAATTTGACGTTTGGCGGACCATCGGATCCTATCGGAAGCAAGATTAGTTGTTCCTTTAGCTTGGGTTCGCCGACCCTATTCATGACCGAATTCGTTTGAAGACCCTGAATTTTCCCAGAATTCCCGGGAAACAGGGTCCGGGTGGCTCAACAAGGCACTTCGGGCGCGGTAAAACCCAAGTAGGGATTTCCGATGGAGAAGCGTCGGAAAGGGCCGCCGTAGGCATTCATGGCAAAATGCCCGAACTTCCGAGCTCTACGCATGATTCAGTACCAGGACGGCCTCGCAGTAATGGAACATGATCTCACGGCGAGGATGACCAGCAATTAATTCTCCCCAGCCTAGAATTGATTGTTGCTGTAAATGATTGGTAAAATGATAGGGAGGACTTCAAACAGGAGCACGAAATATCCGCACTGGAAACCCAAGTGAAGACGCAAACGGAGGAGCTTCAGGGAGCAACATTCCTGTCGTGCCTAGGAATCGAGGCCCCGAAATGGCTGAAAGGGCAAGGGGTGGACATCACGAGTTTGTCGAAGAACCAAGTCATCCTTTACAGTCGCCACAAAAGTCAAATCGAGGCCAGATACCCGCCAGCAGTTGGGAAAAATTGATCGGGAAGTCTCTCGAGCTAGGCTTATTGTACGTCTGATTTCTGTGTCGATGGATGATAGCAGATTTCCATCGTATTCGAGCGGCGCTCCATCTGTTCCATCAATTTGACCTACTGATTGTGTTCCGCCTGCTGGTGATGGTGGTAGCCGGCTTGCTATCGCTGCAGACAATCTTCCCCATTGGTTCTGCGAAAAATGATTCCCTCTATCCATTGGCTTTCCACCGTAGATTATCTATACAAGAGCTCCATCGAGACTATTCTGAGAAGGCTACAGCCGTGCTGCGGGAATCGAGATTCCTTCTCTCGAACTAGAAATGTGAGCATCACTTCGCCTTCCACGCGTGTCTGGAAGGCGATTTCTGGATCACCCGAGCCTCATCCGGGAGCTCAGTGAATAGCAGAAGTCTTTCGCGGAATCAGACCAAAGTTCAAGTCATTCCGCTCCTGAGGCCAGCGGTCTACCTCCAATCACTGAAGCCTCAGTGGGTTATTTGAGGCCTAGCTCTCACTGAGATCCAAGAATTCCGAATTTGCGGGAACCAGAATTGCCGGTGCCCGCTGGAGCTTGACTATTCATGATCCCAATCGCGACGATCGATGAAAATCATCCAACATTCAGCTGCTTGTCCAAGCAGCGCTTGAGGAATTTCTGCTGTGATCCGAGCGAGTGTCTTGTGTCGCGAGAATCACGTTACTCTCGTCTCGGACGCGAACTCCCAGCTGACTCTGAGCTTTGGTCTCTTTCGCTCATCGGCTGAGTCGAGATCTCCGACCGTCTTTCGATCCTGGTACGTTCCCTCAGGACTCGAAGCTCGGCGCAAGGACTCGAAGGCGCATGCTCAATCAGGAAGGACTCGTTCTGACCTCGAGAGTCTTCGTCGATGAGATCCATGGCTTCCCAGATATCGCCCCCTGCGATCCTGGCGTCTCTTATCCTCATATGGTACGATCCCATGACCGATTGTGATTCGGTGAATGGGAATCATCATATCGATGGAGTCACCTCCTGGTAGGAACGATTGAAGCCGAACACGACGGATTTCGCCTGGTGACAACGTTCTAAAATTAGCTGACGCAGCTTGCGATTGCCACGACTCATCTGCCATTTGATCATAAAATGATGGATCGTTCGATCTCTACAGCCATACTGGTCGAGAGGGACCTCCAGCTCATTCCGAATCAAGGTCCAGAACTCTAGACCAGTAGTGCGCGAACATTCTTGCTCCTGGAACCATTCTCAGTCCTCCCTCCAAACGTGGAACCCATCGAGAAACCCCTACGGCTCTCTTATATTTATCTAATCATATGCTCAGAGCTCTAGAACACACAGAATTGACGCTGAACGGGAATCACCTAGACGAGTGACATACGGGCGTCAGAGCCCATGAATGTTATGAAGGGAAAATGACGGAATAAGACGTCATGAATGTTATCGGAACTAAGATCGAATAATGAAACCTGCGAAAGCCACAACCAAATGTCGTCCGATGCCGGTTTAGGGAATGCCGTTCCTCTTTTGGATGTCCTTTCAATGAGGCTCAAGTCTCGCGCCTTGAGAAAGTTTGTATTAGGACGACAAAATCTTCCCGAAATTCGCCGTTTTCGAACGTGAGTGATCGGATTGAGGCTGCTATCCGAGCTCGAGTGGATATCAACCCCCGATCCTTCTAAGGTCCACTCGGCTTTCCATGAGATAGTCGACCCCACCGACGTGCGAGGCGACCTCAATCATAATTTCCGAAATCGCCCTTGAAGTGTCCGTCAGCTTTCCCATGCTTATGCTAGCCAGTCTCCAGACTTGAGTCTCGAATATAAGCAGGCAGCAGCATATCATTCGGAGGCTGTCTGCTCCACGTGTTTATGCTCGACGTGTTACTCCTGCGGGTTCTTTGAGGGCGATGCGATCGGACTCCGAGAGCGCTGCACGAGAACTTCGATCCTGCGCGAAGTCTCGGAATCCATGATGAACCCAGAGACCGCATCCTAGATGAGACTCTCCACAATTCCAAAATGAAAACGAAGACCAAATCCGACGGAACACTTTATCGATAAGCTCCGACGCTCGTAATCGAGTCTTCTTATAGAACCTTCAGAGTATCGGAAAAGCGGAATGTGCGGGAATCGCAAGCCCCCCGAACCTGCGTCCTTGTCGAAAGGGATTCAGCAACAAATTCCATGGTAGTCTCGAGGGACTAGCCCACCGCGAGCAGAGACGGCCTTTTGCTCGACGGGACGCGGATAAGTGGCTCGCGAAACTAGGACGAGATGGTGAATTTTGAATTTTGGCGCTCTCATGACGTCATGGGTTCTATTTTGACAGTTCGATGAGAGAGGACTACCTGCGCGATCCCCATTGATTCTTCGGTCGGATACTCATCGGTGAAATACGTTCAGGTTATGGAGGGATTCGACTCTCCTGAGTTCGTCGATCGAATGCTCGAGCGGATCGGATCGTCTGAGCGTGCTGCTCCGACGGGTTCCGATGGAATTCGGTGAAATACTGGATAGAGAAGCGCGAACGCTCATTAGGAAGCCATTTTCTCCATCCATGGCTACACGGAGGTCGGGGGTGCGGTGCGCACTTGGCTTCGAACATGCGCGCTCGTGTTCGCGCTCCGAAGTGGACGACATCGGAGAAGTGTCTGAGTTCCACAGTGAAGAACGGTCCCAACCCGGCGAACGACCTCCGCCGCGGAGCATCGAGTTCGATTTCCGCGCTATCGATGCCTTTCAATTGAACTCCAGCGCGATCCCGAGGAGCCGTGCGCGCACTCTCCTCCGCGCTCGCTCCGGGTCTCAATGCGGGAGCGTGCCGGAACATTTCGGTGATGCGGTGAAACGTTCGGAATTTCGCGGAGTTTCCCCTGTGATCAGAGGAACTCTGGAGCTCTTCGGAAAGCGTTCCGGGAGAAATCGCCGCTCCCCGTGAATCCTCTGCGCACGATATCATCGCGCATTCCGCTCGCGGACTCCCCCCCGAGACACGAGGAAATTTCTAATTTTTTCTTTGTGTGTTCCAGAAACCGTGATCGAGTCTTCGCCATCGTCGCAGAGATCTTCGTAGCTAGCAAACATTTGATTTGATTTCCACATTTTGAGTATGGCACGGTTTCGTTGTGAGTAGCCGCAGAAACGCTTCATCAATTCCTTTTACTCTGGTTTTCTCGCCGATCAGCTCTACCGTGATCCTGTGGATTCGCAGAGAAAAAAATCTCCCTTATCGCTCCGAGGGGATTAGGCCGAAGGATCGCGGAGGGCTCGTCGACGGCATGGCATGCAGAAAAGATGTGCCGGACTGTGGACCGCGGTTATGCTCTCCCGGAGAGTCGCGATCGCTACGAGCAGAACTCCAAGCTCGATTACGGTGGTTGAAACGAGATTTACATTTTCAGCTGTCACCCGTACCCCCGTTCTTCTGACATGGCTGAAAACGACCCCCGGCTCGCCCACTGGACCTCTTACTCAGGTGCAAGTTCGAGCCACTGTAACCACTAAACCCTCAGTGGTTGTAGCGCGTACTCCGCCTTCTGCACCTCAAGCAATCGCCCAGATCGAATCCGATGAGGAGAATCCGTCATTGGCCGAGGAACGTCGTCAGGACTTCGCTAAGAGCTTCCAACGGGACGCTAACGGCAAATTCAATTGCGCGTTCTGTCCCTACTCTACCGAACATCACGGTAGTATGAAAAATCACCAAATGACGCACACAGGTGAGGGCAGTTCTTCTGCGCGGATTTTCGCGGGCTGGTTGGATGGGAATTCCACTCAGGAAGGCTCCATGGATATATCGCAGAGGCATGATCTTTTTAGACCGATATCCGATTTTTCGGAATTTCAGGCGAAAAGCCGTATGAATGTGGTACATGTGGCAAAAAGTTCATCCAAAAAGGCAATTGGAGACGCCATGAACTTCGAGTTCACTCGTCTTCTTCGGCGAATAAGACCTACCAATGCCCTCAATGCCCAGAAAGCTTCGCAGAACTTCATCTGATGACTGCGCACCACATAACCGCCCATCTGTCACCCCAGGGTCTCCTGGCCAACGGAGCATTCAAGAAGGATATGCGTGAGTTTTTTCGTCGCTCTCACTATTATCGAGTTTCGGCGGGACAGGGGCCGCTCCGTTGACACGGCTCCTCTGAACCTGTGTCTCCCCCGGAGAGGGAGGGAAAACCTTGGGAAAACTCCCGTCGGGAGATCGACGCTGTCGAAGGCCTCCATTCAGTAATTTTTCTTCTTCCATTTTCCAGTGAGCATCCTCGATGCGACCCTTGGCACGAAACGTAAGGACAAGACGTGCGAGGTGTGTTTGAAACAGTTTGCGTCCCGACATGACATGGAAAGGCACATGCGGGTTCATACCCGGGAAAAGCCCTTCGTATGCCCCCTGTGTTCGACAGGATTCACGCAAAAATCCAGCTTGAAATCACACTTGTACACCGTGCATAACCTCACGCAGAACATGTGAACGCTAGGACTTACCGGTACAGCGAAGTAGTCGGTTTTCACGCGGGGCGCGGATGCCGACCACTAGACAAAAACGGCGAGTAAGCACTACGTCTCACCAGGAACAGTTTGAGGGATGCGCATCGTAGACGTAGATCGTCGACGGAATTCGTCTGAGGGAGGTGAATGGAATTCGCCCGAGCGAAAGCTCCACGATGAGCGACCACCAGAACCCAGCGAAACCAGTCCAGTACCACGAGAAAAGCGAGCTGTGGGGCTTTTCACTAGGCCTTAAATCTAGAGTCACGTTCAATGAAAAACAGGGCTACCCTGGAGCGAAGAGAAGCGGAAGCGACGACGACGACGACGGCGGCAATGAATGGGGAGGGGAGAAACGAGGAGCGAATATCGGAAGGCTCTGCGTGAAGATCCAATGTTTTCCAAGAGTTCGTGCAAGTCGCTAGCATTGCCGACGATCGATAACCAGTACCGCTCATCGAGTCATTAGCGAGCTCAGAGAATCGCAGGAGAATAATCTAGTGCCAAACAATACGTCCGCTTTTTACCGGCGTTAGGGCAAGTTTTATGCTCGAGCATTTGAGGGGCGCAGTAGGTACGTTCGAGATGCGACTTGACGAGTCTCTGAAAACCCGAGGACTCTTTACCAAGAATACTATGAATATTGGCAAGCGAGTCTCAGCCAGAAACGTCTATGCACCGACCAGGCTCCCGCCTTGACTAACAGTTGTCGGATAGTACAAACTCTAGGGGAAGGCATCTTTGAGAGGGTTTGAGACCTCCGATTGCCTTCGTCTTCCCCGTAGACGCTGCATTTACCCGTCGGTCGATCATTCACTTGGTTCGTTGATCACTCTGTGTATCACTTTCATTGATTGGATCGGTTGGTTCGGCCGAGAGACTTGTGTTATCGTTACCGTTTGTCATCTGGAGCAGAGGACAGTTGTCGCGCAATACATGCAAATTCAGGTTCTTGCAACAAACACCCCTGACATGCAGCACTGAATTCTTAGTGTAGCCGAACGGAGCCTTTCAAGGATGAGAATTTACTTGTTGGGTTTGAGAATCGATGAAAAGGCTGGACTGATGCAAATCCTAGACAGGGTTGTGTTGTTGTTGTTAGCCAAATTGTTTAGCTCCCCCGACTACTACCACGACATAAGGAGTGATCGGACCGAGTTTGATCGGATGGTATGGAAGAATAATCTTCTGAAACCTGAAACGTACCCCGCCATGACCTCGATGGGGATTCGTCTATTATGGTAACAAACAAGATTAAGATGTTAGAGCTGCAAGTTTCATCACCCCAACTCCTATTGAGTGTACCGCGGACTGCTATGCGGGCAGATCCAGCACTTCGACCCTAGAAGAGAAAGAGCCAATCATTAGCAGGAGCCAAATATTTAGAGAGAACGATGATCATGGGAACCATGGATTGATATTTAAGGTCAGGCAAGTAGAGGTGTTAGCTAGCTCCAATAATTGTTGGATAGACAAGGATCGAGCTGGTCGGAGCTCCGACTTTTTAGTGAAGTTGTGCTGAGCTTTCGGCACCCAGATCGAACTTGTAAAAATAATAACTAAGCATTAACTATGGGAAATGGACACGAGCAATACGAGGCGAAGAATATGGAGCGTCGTCTCCCGGCCTGGAAATCTGTTCACGTTTTGCTGCCACAATAATGAAGACTAATTCAACGATGAAAAGGCATCGGTTTCGCGGTTTTCTCCGTGAACCAATGGTTTAGTCCCGATTCAACGACCAGACGCCACACATTGGCAAGTGTAGTTGGTGTTGAAGGTTTGTGTGTGTGTGTGGTCTTCGTTACGTTCCCGGCCTGGGAGGCGATTCGCCCGAGTTTATAGGAACATTCACCATTCCGAGATTTCGGATCGACCTGTAAGCGCTTATTGAGTTGAAGAAGGACGACTGAATATGCATCGAGCATGCCGAGGGGGAAAATCGACGGCACCGGGTTGCACGATGAAAATAGTGTTTGAGCGAAGAATCACGACGGCAGGTGATAGAATACTACATTCAATATATTTATAAGGGGTGTCGCGGCACATTCCAAACTATACAGTCGAACCGTATCTATCTATCGGGTCACCCGAAATCTCACTCAGAGACACCCTCACTGAGCGCTACAAACACGGACTCGTAGACGAACACAAAAACTCGAAGGAAACGAAACCAACAATAATGTTTATGCAAAAACAACCTCGGCGAAGACCCATTCACGGATGCAATATGGTAGGCAGGTGGTCGAGGGTAACCGGAATAAAGTACTAGGTGATGTAGATGATCTGTATAGACGGAATACAACGACGAATGAGCACGCCTATTGTGTAAGTTCATAGTGGATCACCACCGCAGAATCACTAGATAGACGCAATTGCAAACACTGAAATCCGAGAAATCGATCCAAAAAAACTGTCTCGAGATGAAGCCTGTTGGACTAGGAGAACGACAGCGAGTAGCAACCGTGGGAAGATACAAGCACCTGCCGTCAACCGTTCGTAGTGCAAAAAGGAATAGACTCCTAGAGCGTTGCTGCGACAAGGGCGAAAACTTGAAAACGTCTCTTTGACGTAAAATTGATGATGCAATGTATGATGATGCATTTAAAATGGAAACCACATCACTGGAACTTCTAGATCTAGCAAGTGTAAATAAATATGTTCGTAGTTGTGTACGACGAGTTCACGGTTGGCTTTTCCCTTTCCTTTTAATTTTGGAACCTCCGGGAACGACGGCTGGAAAAAAACTCGAACACATATCGTTCCAAACCCCTGACCATTCCAAGCGACGAGAGATTATATTGGGCGGGAAGATAGCATGAAGAAGGCTTTGAGCCAGGCAGAAACTGACCTTAAAACATTTATTGAATGCTCCATATCTTATCCTAAACAAACTAGAGTCTTTTCGGCTTCCGAGGTCTAGGAGGACATAAGGAAGCCGGAGTGTGATCGGTGATTGACACAATATTGAGACCTGCTTGTTGGAGACTTTTCACAGAGGCCAAACGGCCGGGCCCTAGACCTTTGACGACGAGCCGGACGTCCTTCAGCGAGACTCGGAACGCTCGGTAGGCGATCGAAGTAGCGGCAGCTTGCGCCGCCACGGTGGTACCTGGAGGGGGGGGGACGTTCATGAGGGCTTCTCGACTTTCGAGTCCGGTCGAGGGACGCTGTTTCGGAGATTAATTGTGCCCGATCGGCAAGCCCATTGAGACTCCGACGCAGGATTGACTCTCTCTCCGACGCACTCAGCGATGGATGCTCTTTTCCATTCCCCAGATACCAGAGAGCGATACAAACCTTTCTTTGTGTGCTTGTAGCCTTCCGTCCCTCCGGAACGCCTCGCGATTACATTGCCGTTAGCCTGGGTGAGCGTGCATAGTGTGTTGTTCATGCTGCATTTGACGTGGACAATCGGAAGATCCTTGTAAGGCACGCCGTTGAAAAGAGTACTAAAGGTGACACGGTCAACTAGACTGGAAACGAGAGAGCGATCGGTTTTAGAGTTCAGGGCAGAAGCAGAGCACAGAATTTCCCGTCAAAATCTCGGTCAGCGGGAGTCGATACGGAGCAGGAGCCCGAGCGCGAACTCTCATGCACTTTTCTGGCACCAGTCCGGGCTCGAGTCTCGACCCGGAATCCAAAATTTCAATAATTTCTATGCGATATCTCATTTCGGAGTTTCGACCCGCAGATTGACAGGCGTAAGTAGCGAACTCCGCGAGAGGCTCCACCTTTATCTACATCGATAACGGGTGGAAACAATAATGAATCGAGGTGGAGAAATTTACTTCTCTTCCGCAGGTGCGATATCCACCGACCGCACTCCCTGAGTTCCTTCGTCCTTCGTTGGCAAAGCCCTCAGCTGAGCTTTCCTGTCTCTGTCCATGAATAGGGAGGAGGTCGATGAAATCTGTCTCACATTCTGCAAGGCGCAGCTCAATTTCGAGCACAACATCATCGCGCACAGGAGTCGTCGAACACCCGGTCTCGGTACCACACGGCTCTCACTCGGAGCAGCGCAGTGTGGCTGCTGTGGGACGTCCACGGAAACATTGTGGTAGGAGGTGGCACTTCGTTTGAGCTCTGGAGTCTGGAAACGATATCATAGCTCTGATATTCGTCATTTTCCCATGGATCTCGACGTTCCGTTTTTGAGCGAATGGCTTGCCAGAGAGACTTTCTTTCATTCCACTCAGCCGCCCGCTCATTATTGGGATTATTATTTCCCGCGCCGCGTTCGACAAGATTCAAATATTGGCGCGCCCCGTCCCGAGATCCGGTTTCGATGTGTTGTGTAGAGTCTTTTTTCCGGTCCCTGTGGAAGGTACGGCCGATCTTGAAATTTCTCCATGATAACCGAGTAAATTCTGAGACATTTGAGGGTGTGAAGTGCGCGAAATCTCTGCAAGTTCGAAGTACGGGAATCTGGGAATCTTCTGGGCTCGAATTTGTGCAGTGGCTGGGCCGTCTTCAAGCCGATTTGTGCAGATTGCTGGGACCAGTGAACGAGTGGCGGCACGTGAAAACGTGGTATTTTTGAGAATATTTCTAGTGATCTCCGTATAATCTGCCGTTTTGGTGTGATTCATGGGAAACTCGACTCATTCGAGACCTGTCGAGGGGTCGACGTGGTTTTCACCGCTCGCGTCGCATCTTTGCGTATGGAACGTTCGATTGTCCGGTGCGGTGGGGTGTTCTCGTAGACATCGAGCCGGGGGCGTCGGCTTCGCTGGCTTGGGGTATCGCTCAGGACGTAGGGGACTTTCAATGCTCTGCTCGACCAGGTTAACCCCGGAACCTTGCGAGAAAACCGAAAGAGAAGCTCAGAGGTCTACCGATGCAAGCGCGGCGCAACATGGAGCGAGCATGGCTATGTGGCAGAGATTTCGAACACACCGCGATGAATTTTCTTAATGGTACGAAAAAATGCCGGAATGAAGAACACCGGGATAGAACTTTGTGCTTCGCTTTCACAGATGAACACGGTCGGACACAAGTGCGTGAAGCCCAACGGCGACAAGCCCTCGGAATTCGAGGAGCTGATCGCCCGCACGCTCCTCGAGCTTGAGGTGAGCTCTGAGCTCCGCGCTAATCTGAAAGAACTGCATTTCGTTTCCGCGGAGGAAATCGATTTCGGAGACAAGAAGGCCGCGTTGATCTACGTGCCTTACCCCCAGCTGAAGCAGTACCACAAGATCCACAACCGTCTTGTGAGGTGAGTTGTGGCCGATATCTTCCCCATGCCAAGTTCCGCGGAGAGCAGTTTTCTGAATGACCGTTTTGGGCTCTGCTCCGGAACGTCGAGATAGTGATTGACCTCATACAGAACTCCAGGATCTTCGCTCTCAGCCGCGTCGATTCGTTCAACCCGATTTCTCAATGGACTCTCGTTTCCTTCACAGGGAATTGGAGAAAAAGCTGAGCGGAAAGACCGTGATTTTCATCGCTCGACGAAAAATCCTGCCCAAGCCGTCTCGTAACTCGAAGAGACAGCCGAAGCAGAAGAGACCCATGTCTCGTACCATGGCTCACGTGCACAACGCTATCCTCGACGATATCGTTTATCCCGCCGAGATCATCGGCAAGCGAATCCGCTATCGTTTGTCCGGGAGCTGCCTGTACAAGGTGCACCTCGAGAAGAACCAACAAACCACTTTGGAACAGAAGATCGACACGTTCTCGTCAGTGTACAAGAAGCTTACTGGCAAAGAAGTGGCTTTCGAATTCAGGGAGCCTCTTGTTTAGACTTCAGGATTCGGAAGAGGATTTCGGAAGACAAAATAAATCGTCTGTCCCGATGTGACATCCTTACGAGAACGCGTGATTCTTCCTTGTAGCCAACCCCGTTTCCCTCCCCCCTTAGCTAGTCGAAGAGCAGTCCAATTTGGAGCTTGCAACCTCCTCTCCCTGGACACGATGCGCCCTCAGCAGACCCTCGCGTTCCGGATCCTCCTCATGCTCCTGGGTACACCGGGGAAGAAACGAAAGAAAGACCGAGCGACATACGATTGGAGTAGGAGCGCTCTTGAGACAGAAGGAAATGGCTTCGGCGAGAAAAGAAAATTGAGCGAACATGTGTCCGAAAGCTTCCAATTTTTATTGATCATGGATCAGCAGTCGATTCTCAATCCCAGTGATGGGGTGAGCTTCAATTTTCTTAAAATATATCGCTCCGTTCACTTCTGGGGAATCGTGTCATTTCGAGATGCATCATCAGTCAGGTTCAGAAAAGTTCAGGGTTAAAAAACGGAAGTCTCTCTCTAGGCCATTCCGTTGATTAAGTTAACAGAGGCGTGCCGGGTCAAGTCGAGAGATGCAGATTTTATCGATTCGAAAATTAGAATCAGAATTTCTTCGGGCGAAAATTTCCTCCTGTAGCCGATCCGCTTCTGTTCACATGGTTGTTGATGATTTTCCTTCTCGCCAACATCTTCCGTCTTCAATCATTGTCGCTCTATCTCGTCGTGAAGGATCATGCTTGCGATCGCTTCTCGAGCGATTCGTTCTCACCCACGGTGACTGCTGCTTCGGAGGGGATTTCCATCGGCGTCGACACGTTTACAATGGCTCCGTCAGCTGTCGGTCCAGCCAATCAATAAACTGAGAGACTCGAACGAAGTTCGGTGAGTGCTCTATTTCATGGAGAGCCTCGAGAATGTTCCTCACGTGAATGAAGTGCTCGATCATGAAGGTCGGAAACATCCTCAGATGGAAGTAGTTTCCGGAGTCATCACCGAAAACATCAGCGTTGTGTTTCTCTGTTGTTCGATATAGATCGAGCCGGCCCGCATGTACACAAAGGGGGGCCGGCTTAGATAATATGTACGTGATCAAAGGTTGGTAGACTTGCTGTGCGTGCTCACTATCCCATTTTTTCTCAGCTTCGTCCTCCGCATAGTTCGTGCCGTCAGATAGAGATCTTACCCTCTGCTCGTTGAGGGAGACGGCGGCACTGATGCACTCGGACAGATGGTGCGTTGTTGCGTCTTGCATGTCCCGCAAAACGCGTAGAAATACCACCAGGCGCCGTCCATAGACTTCTAGGACACGGAGGAGTTGTGCTAGGAGCTCTGACTGTCGGCTCATAACTCGAAAGAGCTCGCTCGGAATCACTCGAATCGCAGTCACCGTGGCTCGAACGTGTTGCTGAGAAGCAGTTTTCTTAACGTTGCATCGGAAAACAGCTGGCACCGAACATGTGTACTCGTCACCGAGCGTGAAACGTGCATTTGTGAGCGACCGCCCCGCGCCGCAAGACTTGGTCAGGACCTTGCGGGGGAGGAGGGGGAAGGGGGTAATGATTGATGTGCTTCAGACCCTTGAAATCGGAATGGGGGAGTCCGTAGGAATCCCGGAATCAATGAAAATTTATCGATCTCGTCCAGTGATGTGACTCCGCTGAAGACACAGTCTAGTTGCAACAACCAGCTTCTGTCACGCTGGCGTTTCCGCAGTGGTGCGCGGCGCCGCGCCGTGGGTACGGAGTCACCGATCGAATTCACAACTCGATCGTTGCTTTGACTGATAGCTCCGGTGGAACTATTCTCCCGGCTATTTTTGCTCCTCTGAGGTTAGTCGGATGCCGCGCGGAATTCACTTCACAAAGTGCTCCCCGCTATTCCCGGCACCATGTACGATATCCATGCTGCTTCTCTATCGGCCAGTGGTGATCATATGTCCGTAAGGATCTAGACGTCGAAAGCTAGAGGGTTTTCATCGTTCGCTCACGATCTCGCAATCATCACACCCTACCCCACAACATATGTTTTGTTCTTTCTGGTACAACCGTGTGGTCGGGACTAGCCCAGACGATCCTCGGAACCAATAGTTTCGCCAGCTGATGAAGTGAGACTGTGCTTGAGATTTGAGATTGACATGTGCCGTGGGATCATGACACCTGCGAGCTATTCTGGTGAACATCGCAGCATCCTCGACGGTTACCAGAGCTTCCTAGGAAAGTCCGCGCGTAAGTTGGACGCTCTTCAGGTCTCTCCCCAGCTGATTCTCCTGGCTCTGAGTTGGAAATCGTCGGGGGAAGAAACTTGACATTCGTCACCGTGAGCTCGTTGGGAGAGCTTTCGAGGTGGCAAATCGAGACTTCTCCGGAAGGACACAATCGATTCGATCTACCTCAGAAAATATCCTTGTTCATCAAGTTATTGACGTAGTCGACGTTCTTTATCTACACTCCGTCCTCCAACTCCGCGAAACTTTGGAAACACAGGAGAACTTCAGGTGGTATGCGAGGACGAATGGCCGGGAATTTCGAGAGGCGATGACGTGCGATCCGGTGGAGGTTATCCAATATCTGCATACTTTGGTAGGTAAGTCCCGCCTATTCTTTCTTGCCCAGTTTGATTGGTGCCGCTTTCCATGTCTCGCCCATCAGACTTCCCGGAACAGTCCTCCCCCTCTTGCATTTTCACCTTCCTATACCCAACCGTCGACTTCCCCCCGCTTGTCCGATCTTGCTTAGCTCGAACCTCATCTATAGCTGATTCCGACCATCTGCAACACTCTTAGCCTTAGCTCCGTACTGCCGACCGTTGTCTCACTTCAAGAAACTACTCGAAACCCACTTACTCACCCATAGCATCTTTCCCTTCGATAGTTTTGAGGTGTTCTTCTGACGTGTTCCACTCTACTACATCATATGTGCTTGCGGCATTCGCCTGCATTTGTTTTGAGAAAAATGAAGTATCATGTGAGAATCACTAGTTTCCGCGCATGAATTCGTGTTTTGCCACGTTTTTTCCCGCACGAGAATCGCGTAGTCGCTTTGTAAGGAGCGATGAAAAGACTCAGATTGAAGATTCTATCCGGACCTGCCTACCTTCCATTAACTCCATATATCCCTCGGGTCTGTTTTCGCTTAGCGAATGAGACTAACCGTTTAGATTCTCGGTGAGACTTTTTGTGGAGGAGGAGGTCGATTCAGGTGATTAGGGTGCAATAGCATACGGACAATTTGGTTATGTCAGAAAGTGAGCCGAGTCGCAGTATCTGCGGAAATGAACAGGGAAACCTCATTATCCTGGTGGCTGATTCGCCTGTCATGACAATGCTCAGGTCTGTGCTCTCCGATTGGATTCGATACCTGCCCAACGCAGAGCAACGTGACGGTGTTGACGAAACCATTAGCCAGCGAGCTGCTCAGTCCTAGAGGACGAGGTCGCGCGAGAATACTTGTTAGACGGCCCGAATATATTCTGGGAGCAATAGTTTGTAGGTAAGGACAGAGAATACGACCTCGTATCTATCGGTCATCGAACTGCTTCCGATGTCCGGTCGGGGAGCAAACGATCCGGTCCCGTCACGACCCTCGAACGCTCCCTCGGAGACATTCGGGCCTTCGGGAGGGAAATGATCGAGCAGGCCCAGTTGGATGTGAATTCCTTTTCTGAGACCATGGCGAACTATGGTTCCCTTCGCGGTACAAGTATTGGACCTGGCGAGGTCTACCGCGCGGAGGTCGCGTTACTTCAAGACTTTCCCTTGATCCGATGCAGATCGGCGTGATTGGCCCTGAGATCCCCTCTGAACTGAGCGAATCGAAGAAGAGGCGATTGCGGACGTACAGAATTTGTTTCCATTTCTTTCTGTTTTTGATCGGAGCAACCTGAGATCAAGGTCCTTGAATCTTGGAATTCCTCGGCTCTAATCACGACAAAGCTCCCATTCCGGAGAATGCGTTTTTAGTTTGCTTGAATGACTGAGCGGGAAATTCTCTCCTCCCATTCCCTCGCGTTCCTCATCATGCCCGCTCCGCGGACGCACCAAGAATATTGAACCTGAAATACATTTCATTCGGCGACGGCACCGACGGAGGCGGCCGCTTGACTTTGTGAGGGGGGGAGAGGGAAGGAGAAGAAAAACAAATTCTGCCCCGGTGGGACTCGGCTCTATTTTTGGCAGACGAGATTCCGGCGACGACGCAGAGCACGGCAGAGTTGTATCCAGCTGCAAACAATTGCGAGGAAGTTCGCGAGACAAATCTGAATATGCGGCATGGGGAGAGTCGGGAGCGGATGGATCGAACCATCGATAAATGAGGTAGTTAGTGAAGCAAACAATCAATCAACCAACTTTCCGCTCGCGCTAGCGAGGAGCGACTTCGAGCAGTGCCGATGACAGTGGGTCGATGAATCGGTGGCGGAACTTTTGTTTTCAGCCCCTGGGTGCACATTGAAGAGCTGCTCGACGCGGAGGGATCGTCGACGGGCAAACCAGCGGAGAAGCGAGAAACAGCCCGCATGGCCTGATCGCCGACCACGAATTTCAGCCGATCTAAAGAAGGCCGAGGGAACGCTCACCTGTCTGAGCTTGACGCGCGCTGAAAATACAAGCGATCGGAGTGAATGCTTTTCAGTGGAAACACCTATGGATAGAGACCTGAAGTTGGCGAGTATCGCGATCGTGGTTCCGAGTGAGGTGAGACCCATCTTGGCGAGCATCTCGGAATTCGCTCCTCCACAACCCTGGGCTCTGAATCGATGGGCGCCCTGTCGACTGTAGAGCATCGGTTTTCCGCCCTAGGTTTCCAGAGTGTTCCGTGTTGTCCGGGTCTCAAGAGAAGGGACCGATCGGATGGTCCTATGGCCCACGCGTGCGCGAGACAGGCCTTTCACGTTGAGAGGGAATTGCTTATCTCCGTCGAAAGTTTCAGGGAGGCTGCCTGAGTTGGGGAGAGCATCAATCGTGGTTGCCGGCAGAATATGCAGCTTCTGGCCCTTGTACGTCCAGGTGTAACATTTGCTCTGTATATCCGTCCACGGGAAAACATTTCTGGCCGCCCACGGTAGGGTTATGCTCTTGCGCTTGTCGCATGCAACGGCTCATGGAGCCTCCTCCGTCAAGGAGTCTTAATCCCGAAACCCCGATTCCGGAGGGTGCAGGAGAGCTTCCGAGCCGCCGCGGAAGGCCGGTAGCGCCGGGGGCTATCGGTGGAAGACTCGAGCGTCTTGAAGCCCGAGTTTTTCCATTCACCGCTTGCACGACCACTGTCATGCATTGTGATGGAGGTGCAGATTGTCCGAAGATCCGATAACTCCAATTCGAGGGGACCAAGGCAAAATAACGGGATGTCTTATTTCCATAGTACAGACACTCACAGCTATTAATTGCTCCGGCTCGCCGAGGGCTCGGTCTCGCCCCTTAAGAATTACCGAACTCGTGGGACACGCTAAACGCGATCGATTTTTCGCGATCGGCGTGAGATCAGTCGGGAATCCTTCGAAGAAGGGGAGGGTGACCAATGTTGTGAAGGGGGGAGGGGTGGGGGTTGGGATTGTCAGTGCACCTAAGCAGGTGGGGGTCGATGCACCGAAGGTGGGGGGGGGCGATGCACCGACGGGAGATGGGGGAGAAGCGGATTGATATCTGGGTCCTGTCTGATATGGAAAGTATAAGGCAGTCGAACCCCTCAAGGGGGAGGGGCGGTTGCCTCCTGGATCCCCCACTGCGCGACACGGGGCGCCGAGCCTCGTCGCCAGTCGCCGCATCCTCGGGAGAACTATCGAATGTCACCGTCGCGTGAGCTGATTCCGCAGCTTAATCCGCATTTCCTCAAGCGAGGGGAATCCCCTTTTATTCAGAAGACGAGACTTCTCAGGTTCGAGGGAGGAATAGGACAGGAGTAAAATTACGGAGCACACAGACAATCGATAGGGGAGCGATGTGGAAGATGAATACTGGATTCCCTCCGATCTGTGGATGGACGCGAGGTGCGGAGCGTCATCGGATCCAAAACCCGCGTGGAGGGAACATTTGCGGGGAGAGTCGAGGAGCTGCTCCCGGAGGACGAGCTCTGTAGCCTTGTTCTCCGAGGAATAAGCACGGAAACTTCGAAAGAAGAATCGCAAGTCAAGCGTGACCTCTTTACACAAATCAAGCGAGCGAAGCGTCGCGCTCAGGGCCGCACGCTCACACGCTCAACCGGTTGCATAAGGGAACTGCCGCGCCCCCGACCGGTCCTCCAGGTATTTGTTCTCGCGGAAGTCTCGGATCGATCGAGCAGCCAGGCTTTGTGTCGGTGACCGGAATGAGCACGGTCTTCTTGAATCATAGCTCAGCGACTAAGAAGAGATTCTCATTCATGAAGGAACATTCATGGGGGAACTACAAATTACCCCAGGTCGTAATGAATGTCTGGGAAGTTCAGTTCCTTTCGCGCGAGTAAGGCCGCCATGAGAACTTTTTCCAGAGAGTTTGTACGAATAATCCTCCGAGATGCAGCTCATCAAATTAACAGCAACACTGGAACGGTGTTCGCTGCGAGGCCGAAAGTTCCAGGCAGGTCCCTCCTTCTCGACTGCCAGTGCCCAACCTGTTGAGAGGGATCGAGGGTCCTTTCCATCCGGGACCCTTTCTCCGAACCTCGGTTCGGTCGCGAGTTCCAAGCTCCTCACGGTCGGCGACGAACGCCGGGAGCGCTTTTGAAAAGGATACGAGTTCGTTCTGATTGTGTTTGATTCAACGTTTTTCGTGCTCGGAACTGATTGAACCATCGATTCACTGACTGACTGAAGAGTTGACAAGCGTATCGGACGAATCAACAAGTGCGTCTGCGTCGGACTTTCCACTTCTGCAGCGAAAAGGTAAGGACCATAGACAAACAGGTGGTTCATCTGGCGGCATGACAGCAGCTGCTTTAAGATTGGAAACGAGGCAGCTGTGAGTCGGATGGCTGGGTTTTCGAGAGAATCTCCACGAAACGATTTGATTGGGTCGTTGCCGAGCAATGAGCTCGCCGACTCGAAAAAAGGTCCTTCATGGACTAGACGCCCTGAAGGGACAGGGGACAGAGCTGATTATTCAGGCGTTTTGATCCCTGTGGGGTCACTTTCCGTCGTGATTATGATTTTGCCGTAATCATACATATGCGTATCATTATGACCGTAACACGTATGATTATAATCAATGATCACAGACAAACGTATGATTACGGTGTTTTCATCATCATCTCCATCAATAATCGGAGAATCGTTGCCCTCACATTAGGTCTCATTGTGGTCGATATGATAGTTATAATCACCGTTTACAAGACGAAATCATACGCATGATTAAGGTGATTTCCCTCGATCGACGCTCCTTTCTGACTGGGGAATCATGTTTCTCGCAGCCAAATACTGGTTCGCTGGCTGCTACCACGATCAAGCGGATTCTCATAATCGGAGAAATCAACATGTTCAGAAAATGGTGACCAACCCGAGAGACTGGAAATCATATACATACAGCGACCGATCGAGAAGCAACCGATCGATCGATCCCTTTCTCTAGAGCACGGGTGCACAACACGCGGCCCGCCGCCATTCTTCCATTCTTGTTTGGAAATCTTGGGGCTCTCTGTTTCGTCGACACGACACATGTCCGGGAGATAGAACACCCCCAATCAATTATTCGTTCTCAGAAAAGGGATTCTCAAGAATACATTCCGTGCTCGACGCCCCTTAATGAGCAGGGCGGGGGCTCACCAGAGAACAGTGCGGCCCGCCAGGGGTCAAGAGTTCCCCAAACTTGCCCACCAAGCTGATGAAGCGGTGAACCCCTGCTCTCGAGCTCCGCCGTGGCGAAAGCTCGTGCATCCGAGATTCCAATCGGGACGACAATGAATTCAATCGGTGGGGAACCACCTAATGTCTCAGGACGCGAAGCAGAAGTACCACAATGATGCTAGCACAGCCCGCGTGATCTCTTTCCCGAGGGTCAGTATCTGCATGCGAGGAATGTGATTCCCCGATTTCGACTGGAAATCGCAGTGAAAATCACAGTAATCAAAAGCACTCGTGTGATTACGGTGATTTCCGTGATTATGACTATGATCATAATGACCCGCGTGATTATGATTTCACCCAACAGTGTTTGTAATAAGTATGAGGATGGCGACTCCAAATTGCGCGCGAACTCGGGCGAAGGCGGGAGAGGGAAGTGACCGACGCGCGGTCGCAATTCGGACCTTGTGCGTTCGCGTGTTCCTTGAGCACGGTCAATGCGGGACATCCTAGGTGTTCGAGTGGGGGTAGCTCTCGCTCCTGTTTCCCCACCGGAGTCACCGCGGCTTCTGGGAATTATTTCTCAAAATTTTGGAAAACTACGGACAGTTCTCGCCGGCGATGAATCGCCGAACAGGGAATCCCCTTGGTGTCTCAGTTAAAAAAAAGCCCGAACTTTTCTCCAAGCTTCAGTATCAATCGCGCAATGCAGTCCCTGCCCCCTTCCCCTCCCGAATGGCTGATCGGATGATTTGGGTGTTCTCGGCGAACGTGGAGTTTGGAAGTTAGGCGGAAAACTTGATTTGGACAGCGATTAGGCCGAACTGGAACTGGCATGGAGTACGATTATTCTTCATGAGTGAGCAACTTCAATGTCTGGACCGAGACGAACCAGAAGCCTTGGAAACCGCCGTCGAGCAATCCACGTAATTCTGATTTATGATTTCCCTCTCAGAAGCTGTTGCTCCGTGACAGAGATCGGGCTTCTCGGAAATCTCCGTGAGCTTTGATGGCGCCCCCGTATGTTTTCCTCGCCGCTATGCGGAGCGGCACCGCATTCGGGGAGAGGAATCTTCGCGTGCAATCATTGTGCTCATAAAGAGCTACATGGATGAAATAGCTGGGGTCACGACTCCGTGGGCTTCGAACGACACCGGTTTCTTTCATTCAAGATCATAAGGCGGCGATGCATTGACGGCACAAAATCCGTTTCCTTCGGTCGAACACAACATCGGTCACTTCATCGCTCCCGGTGACCGTCTCGTATTACATTCGACCGCCGCGGCGTTGAAGTCCGTTCGGGATAGAAATCCCGCACAGGGCGATTTCCTTCAGAGATCGACGCAAAACCCCCCCACTGCTCTCTTCCCTTTGATTTTCCTTCCAAATCCTGGAGACCGAGCTCTGCCGCAAAGTACTTAAATCCGAAACGATGCAGCTACAGCACGAGGTTCGGCGCTCCTGAGATAATACAAGGAACGCGTTGATTCCCACTTCCCCGATTTCCCACGGGCGCAGGACTCGTTCGATCAGCTCGGTCAGTAGCTGGCATGGCAGGAAGAGGCATCGTACGTCCAGTGACATAGAATTGCCTCCGGTGCTCGAGGCGCTGTGTATCGTCGCTGTCACCATCAAACCTCAGCGTGACCGGGGCCTGTTCTCCCGAGTTGAGCCGAAACGAATTGCCAACCACTTAACGTTGACACGAGGTATTCGGAGTCCTTCTCCCTTCTGGGCCTCCCTAGCGGCTCCGCTAGGTACTTGGAGCGGTTAGAATGAATGAAAATTCAAGTCGTGCTCCAGCTGATTACCGTCCTGCCGGAGGACCCTAATATCCTGTGGATATCTGAGCAGACTCCTAGTTCTTGCCCACCTGTGCATGATCCGTGACGTGGCGTCTGGGGGTCAGCCGGTCCCTGCGGCACAGTAAATAGAAGGAACAGGGAATCACG